ATAGGCTAAGGATATAGATTTTTCATTCTGAATTCAAATGTAATAATTGTATTATAAATTATTGCTATTATTTTAAATAACATTAATGTTTTGTTGTACGACATACAATTTTATTTTTGTGTATTTTATTTTTAATAATATTTAGTAATATTTTTATTTTTATTGTGCCTACCTATAATATTGATTTAAGTTTAAAAATGTATACTTGCATAAATATATATCTATAAATAAATATGTATATATAAATAAACCGAACTTTTGTTCTCCGGACTTTTTTTCGCGGGTCTTTTTTTACTGGACTTTTGTTCGCAGGACTTTTAGGTAGAATACCATTGAAATTGACACTGAAGAAGTTATCAAAAGATTTTCAAATACTTCAAGGAAAATTAAATTAATATAGTTGTATTGCAGTACGTTTTACACATTTTTTTATTTTTTTGATATATGTATTATATATAGTTGTATAATATAGTTGCAATATTTGTATCATTAGTGAGTCAGTAACATAAATATTATTAAAACATTGCAATTTTCCCTTTTTGAAAAAGCCTAATATCAAGGGCTCAATCTGCTACTACGTCCTAAGCTATTGAAGTTTAATCTATGTTTCAAATTTCATATGTCCATTTTAAGATGAACTAGAGATTTGAGGTTTAGAAAAACCGTTAGAAGTAAAATTATAGTTACACTGGTATAAATGTAAAGTTGTTGGAATACTTGGCCGGCTCACTACTTAGATATCGTACAAGTTTCTAAAACATTGGGTGTTAATTGTTTTGTTTTCGCCCTAGAGCAGGTGTTAAAATAATTTTCTTGTCATAGGTATTTAAAAATTATTTGGCTGTATTTCATAAATAAAAAGTTAACAAATTAACAAGTAATAAAATGTGTATAGTAATAATTATTGCTTGCCTGCTTTTATACTCTCAGTAAAAATATCTTTTTGTGGGGAGAGGCAAACAATTATATTTTAAAAATTTTGGCACTTGACTTATAAAAGGTTCACCACCCCTGCTCTAGAGATTATATTATTTGGATCATCGATGTTTATTTTATTATTACGATTTTCCACCCGGGGGATCGTATGCTGTCGCATCGTGTTTCGAGAATTATCACCACTTTCGCATGTACGGTCTAGTCGGTCTACACTCTGAGAGTATGAAATCGTGAAATTTAAATAAAGAACACAATATTATCAAGTACCTACCTAATAATTGGTAAATAACACCTAATGGTTCGGCATTTCGGCGTTAACATATTTCTTGCACCAGTCTTGTAAATATATTAATATATCTAAAATTCTAAACAATATAGTTTTGATAAAATAATAAAAAAATTATCAAGTTTATTATTTTGTTGACTGGCGAAATCTAGGGCCCTGTAAAGATAGGATAAGATTAAGATACCTCTACAGTGCCTTAGTGAAATCTATTTTGAAATTATTTTCATGTCTAGGTGATGACTGCAATTATAATTTGTTACTAAATATTATGATAATTTAAATTTAATTTATCATGCTGAATATATTTGTTTTCCTGCTCAGTGCTCTGCTCGAGAATTTTCGTAACCGATTATTGTAAATTGATAATTTTTATTGTTATTAATTTTAATTTTTAACGTCGTTTATTTTTTTACAATGTTAAATTATGAATACATAAATATAATAAATTACGCATAGCTGAAACTCTGAAAATATTATTATTTTATCTTTTCTACTAGTAAAATATTTAGCATTATATTTAGCATAATTATTGTGTATTACACAGTTTTAGGGCCGTTATTGCAATGTCCAGCTAAATTTGATTTAACTGAAAGTTACCTAAGTTTATGGTTTAGTGTGGGGACTTTATCGAGACCATTATTACAATGTTTCTATTAGTGCTAACTAGTAGTTAAATAATTATAAACAGTACAATATTTTTCATCGGTTAATAAGAATCAGTATTTGTGACAACTAATAATTTAACATTATCAACTTTAAAAATCGATTATTAAACAATAGTTTTAACTGTCATAATAAATATTAAATAACCATCTATACCTATAGTATTCTAGTAGGTAAGTGTGTATAATTTAAAAATAGGAAGTGCACACAAACGAGTTGAACCAGCCCTCCCCGCAAAACAAAATAACTATCGGTCTCAAAAACAGTACCTACATAATATATACTCTTTTGTTCAAAAGTTCAAAAAAAGATCCTCTATAAATAAAATCCTTTTATATTTATAGCAAACAGTTGTTATAATAAAAATTATAAATGTTTATTACATTTTTTTAAATCCATTTAAAAATAAAAATTGGAGGTCTTTCTCCAAGCTTTAGTACCTATAGGCTTTTTTCATTGAAAAAGCCACTGTAATAAATGTGATTAATTATTTGAGTTCAATGATAGACTATTGTAAACGAAAAAAGATGCTGTGCAGAGAAGTGGCAGTCTCCATTTCCAAGGAAATGTTATATTTTTAACTTATTCATATTACTAGGTAATACATTTTTTTATAAAACTTCTTTCTAACCTTACCTATAAAAAATCTGGTAAAATCATTGCTATCAATCTTCTGTAACATTTTATAAAATAATGTATACATTATTTATAATATCACTTGAGATATTTGATTAAAAAAAGTAAAGGCCCCAGGGGAGAAATTATTATAATATACCCATCAATAAATACGTAACAATGGACCCTAGTCACTAGGGCCATACAAATAATTAGTTACTAAAATAGATATTGAATATGAACATTTTGTTAATTTTAGAATTAAATGGAGTAATTAATATCTTTAAAAGATAAATACTCACAAAAATCACCAAAATATGTGACAATATTAAAGTTATTTCTTTTTCTTTTTAAAATACATTTATATTATTATTAACAATTAATTGTTATAATCATAATTTGGTAGGTAATATCAAATAATGTTACGCATAACAAAATATTTTAGGTACCATTTTATTTGTATACAACAATACATTATAATATGTCTTACATACTGCATTTTATGTGCCTTGCAACATGCAGAATGTTTTTTGCATGACCCACTATGCACTGGTACAACAGGAAAACCACACAACTATTAACTGCTCCTTTTCTTGAAGGGTTCCTCTTTTCCATTCGCTTATTTAAGCATTTCATCCAGTTCATGAGTTTTTCTTTTGCAAACAGATAACTGTTTTTTTTTTTTAATGTCATCTTCTTTATTATTAGAAAATTAGTAATACCATTGGTTATAAAGGGTGATACTTTATAAATCTTCTTCTGTTTTTATTTTGGTTATTTCAGCATTTGGAAGATTAGACGATGCAATACCTACTCTTGCAGTGCATCTGAACATTGCTTCATAGGGAGATGTGCCTATTCCTAGTGAATAAAAAAAAAAATTTAAATAAAAATAACAATAAAAAAAAAAAAAAATGTAAAATAGATACCAGAGTGAAAAGTCCGATTTTTTTTAAATTGAATGAATTTTAATGCTGATGGCCAATCCGAACTATTTTTTTTGCTCATCCAAGCAGATAACATTTCTTGCACATCCCTATTATTTCGTTCAACAGTTTCCTGGCTTTCACTGAGCTTTGGCCATCCATAATCAATGCTCACTTCATCCCATATAACATGAAGTTTGTTAATTACTGAAGTTACAAATTTTTTTCCACTGCATGATTGTAATATTGCAGGTGCCCCAAATAATGTACAAATATCAATTAAATTATAAGCAATTTCTTCAGTGCTTTTTGATTTTAGAGGTTTTAATACTATGTATTTAGTCAAATGTTCTTGATAGCTCATTATGAATCTATAATCGTTATGGCGTCGAGACTGCATGTCTATTAGATCGACTTGTGCTCGGGAGTTGAAAGTAGGCTGTAAAACTGTTGGT